AATTCAGGGCCTTGGGCCACACAGAACATGTGTATGTAAGCATAAAGAGAATATTAACCCACACATGAACAGGGGAGAAACATAAATAGCATTAGATCACAAATACTGACCACTGTAGTCAGACAACAAAACATAAAGCCACAAGAGTTTTAATTAGGATTGAAGAACAAAAAGGAAAACTAAGGAAACAAGACACTTTTAGGACGGAATGGGAAGGGGAGTGAGGGTGCGCATAAACAGAGACAGACACTCATTTGCATCCTCATAAGCCTTGATAAGCTGCCTGTTGAGAGCCTTAACTTCCTCACTGGGTGAGGCATTTGTCTTCAGCAGCCTTTCATTTTCATCCCTTAACTTTTGCAACACCTGCTCATTTCCATCGCTGGTACCAAGTCCCCTCGAAACCGTCTTCTGTAATTCAGACCTCAGTGAAGCGATTTCAACCTCCTTGTCATTCAGAATCTTGGTAAGAACAGTCACTTCCCAATTAAGAGCAGCCTGCTGCTCTAAAACATTTTCCATTTGAGATCGGCCCCTAGCTTGTCCTTCAACACACTCACATTCCAGCATAATGGCAGGGGGTTGATATCTTCAAGTTCATCAAGCTTCTCCATGTGAAAAAAGATCAACAACAGATGCCACTGTTCTCATTTCAGTTCTAGGCACTAACACCTTGTTGATGAACAAAAAAACAACTTATATTCCCCTTGAGAAACCCTTTTGGTAACCTTGCATTCTTGACATCTCCACGTTTTGTGGCAAGTTTAGTGAAGTCACTGGATAGTTTTCAACCTTCAATTGTTCGAATTCCTTCCTTGTCATTTCTTTTTCTTCACTTTGTTTTTTGAATCCTAGGACCTGGTCCCTTTATGAGTTTTTAATTTTCAGCCACCTGTTTTTCTAACTTTCTCCCTTTTCACAGGAGATTTCTTTGCAGCCTTCTGGAGTAAAAAAAGGAGAAGTTGAATGAACTAAGATTTTCAACTTCTTGGGAGATAGGGATCTTTGAAGAAGAATTAGAGTTAGACATTTTGAGAAAGAGAGAAAAGCTTTTGGAAAGGGGATTAGTGAATTTCAACAAGAATTGTTTGATGAGATTTTGTAATTTGATTCACTAAGAGAAGTAGTATATAAAACCAAAAAGACATCGAGTCTCCAACAGTAGCAACCTTTGGTTTAAAAATGAAAAGACATCTGAAACTGACGCGATGAATGGGCGAGGGACATGTGGCAGTGATGTTGACATACAGACAGTGTAGTGTAAGTGATACTAACCT